GCAAGGCATCTGCTGTTTCCCCGCTCCCGCCCCCCTCGAAGTGCTCGGCCAGCGTCCCTATCACCGTTCCTGGCGGCACCTCTTCGAACACCCGGTACTGCACCGTCAGCGTGGCCACCTCCTGGGCATCGGCGGAGAGGAACAGGTACCACCACAGGGCTGGGAGGTGGAGAGCGGAGCGGCTCAGCAGCAGCATCCTGCTGGCGAAGCCCACCACCCCGCTGCCCCGCCACGCTGCCCCTGGCTTGCCCGCCTGCCGCCGCATCCCCGAACAGTCCTTACGGTGATCGTGGCTCCTCGGCATCCTCTCCCATCTCCAGGTCCTGTAGGTGCCTGCCGCTAGTTGGAAAGGAGGAGAAATAGTGGCTGAGTCCAGCGGTTGTCCCCTGCACTGCCATTGCCAGGGGACACTGGGAGAGGAGCTGGACCCCGGGCTGAGACGCTCAGCCCGGAGCAGAAGGGACGGCCACCGCTACTGCTTTGCAGCAGCGTCCGGCCAGCGGCCCAGGGCCGGGAGGTGGACCAGCCGTGCTTCCTATGGAAACCCCACCTACAGGAAAAGGGAGGACCGGGCTGGTACAATGGCTCTGGGGTGGGGGCTGGCGGGCGTCCCAGGCAGGAGAGAGGTGTGGAAGTGCCCTTGGTTTCCAACCTGTGGGGACCATCACTGCTGCCCGCTGTCACCCTGCAAATTGCATTTTGCAGGAGACACGGTTCCTGCAGACAGTCCCAAACCCATCTGCAAAGCCTCATGTGTGCTTCAGGAAGATGCCTGCAAGAACCAGCAATGATGGTAGTCCGCTCTTTCATGAACCAAAAGGCTCGTGCCCTACGCTGTTAGATTTCTGACTTTGATTTATTTTCATTTTGTCCAAATCCAGCGTGTAATCCCTGCTCCTTGCTCTGCCTTTTCCTGCCAGTTTGGAGGGTGACGCACCCACGTCACCTTTTGCAACCTCTGGCTTTTGGTTACATCACTGCTTCATTTTCATCTGGACACAGCAAAACGAGCTGACGAGACACTGGGAGAGCTGCCACATCAAACACGGGCGGGCACGGAAGAGAGTCAGCTCTGACAGATGTGAGCTGTGTCCTCCCAGGCCTCTCTCTATCCCCTGCATCTGTTCTGGCCGGCTCTGTCCTAAACGTGGCTCTGCTTTGATTTCCCCAGTGCCACCACTCATCCAGTGTTGATTTTGCAACACCAAATCCCTGCTTTGTCCCACTGGCCACATCGTCTTCATCTTGGTCCCTGTGTCTCCCAGGCAGCCTCCAGCACCACCCTGCACTCATCTTGCCCCTCTCCTCCCACCTTTCCAGCCTTGCCAGGCACCCCCATACCTCCACATTCTATTCCCCTCCCCTCACAGCTCTGGTTTTCCCAGTTGAAGCTCCCCATCACCTGCATACCCGCCCAGTTTCCTGCTCTCATCACTTTTCTTTATTACAGTGAATTTTAACACTGCAGCGAACAGCAGAAGCAACTCTCCCCAGTGCCAGCCCGCCTGTCCCAGGGGGGTTAATGCCACAGCTCAGCACACGTGGAGGAAGGGCCAGTGCAGGGGATGGCAGGAGACCCGGTGCTATGGCTGGGCCCAGCCCCAGCTCCAGGTGACCTTTGCCAAGTCATTTCCCTGCTTTGTGCTCTGGCTTCCTCCCCGGCTGAGCGAAGCCGGCCCGCGGGCTCTCCCGGAGCAGGGATCTCCCCAAGGGATGCGCTCTCCTCGCTGGGCTGCGGATGGAGGAGCGGATGTCACCCAGCCCATGCCCTGCTTTTGGGCGGGTGGGAAGGAGGGAAGGCTGCTTCCTTCTGGGGGGCAGGCTCATCCTTCCATCGGCCTTTTTTTATGCCTTTCCTTTTCAGGGCTGGAGAGGAACAGACGAACTGCACTGAAATATCACCAAGGAAAGGAAATATATCATAGAATTATAGAGTGAGTTTGGTTGGAAAAGACCTTTAAGATCATCAGGTCCAACCACTGAACCAGCCCTATGTCTACCACTAGACCACGTCCCTAAGCACAACATCTCCTCGTCTTTTAAACACTTCCAGGGATGGGGACTCTACCACCTCCCTGGGCAGCCCCTTCCAGTGCTTAAGAACCTTTTCAGCAAAGAAATTCCTCCTAATATCCAACCTAACCCTCCCCTGGCACAACTAAATATTATATTATTATATTATTACATATAAATATTATAGCTGAGAACCCTAGAGGTTCCTCAAAAGCCCTGCAAGACGTAACCTTCTTCCCATGGCCTTCCTAGCCAGCCTCACCAAGTGCCCCACATTTAATCCACCACTGATGCCCAGGAGGTGCATCCTCCCCAGCACCAGCACCCACATCTGCTTGGTACATCCCCTGCCTCACCAGCCAGAGGGAGGATGTCCCTTTAGGCTGCTGCAGCCCCAAAATGCTCCTTTTTCTCCCCAGAGGCAGGGAGGCAGGTGGGATTTTGAGCCCCAGCTTGCTCAGCCACCAGCAGCAAAGGCCGATGTGACAGGAGAAGTCGCAGTCACAGGGATGAGTGACTTCACTGGTGACAGATCTGGACTGCCCAAGAGAAAAGGAGCTGATGCATTAATTATTACGATGCTTAATGAATGAACCCCTGTAGAACGGACCTGTGACCCTGAGCCACCAGGACGTGAGCAGATGGCAAGGATGATGGCTGCAGGACGCTGCAAAAGCATCGCTGAGCTGCACCCCATGTCGGCTGCATCTTGGTGGGAGCTGGGCAAAGTAACGCTAGCAAAGAAAATAGAAAAGAAAAATGAGGTTGAGCTGAGACTTGCCAGGAGCACAGAGAATAAAATGAGATCTGGTGCTAAAAACAAAGCACATCTCATCCCGTTTCCTGTTCACACACAGGCAGGTTTTCAAAGTGCAGGTGCTTCAGGAGCTCCATAGACAATGTTGTATCTATGACCGTAAGATTTCCCCCCCAGGAGGCTGGCTGCACCTAAAACCTTTCAGTTAAAGCTCAGGAAGAGCATCAGTTATATTCATTTATTGCAGCAGTATTCTTCAGCTCCTGTGTGATGCTGTTAGTGTCCAGAGCAGAGATAAATGTTATTTACTGGTGTGAAAATCCAGCTCCTCTGAAGCTCAGCTGCTCTCCAGGCTTCAGAGCAAGACCCGGACACAGGGGACACCCCAAGCTCCCAGGGGTGCAGAGCTGCACTGGAGGCACCACACATTCACCATCCATCACATATATGGCAGAGAGCAGCCTGACAATGCTATTTTCATCTCTACTGCACAGCTGGAGGTCTTCAAATTTCATCGGTCATTTTGGGTTGGCTTGGTGCGGGCTGGGAACCATAACAGTGGGGCACATTCTTGGCAGGGTGCATAGGGCAACAGAAAAATGAGAAAAGAATTACTTTTTTTTCCCAAATCTAATAATGAAAAACAACATCAAAAGAGCTCAAAATGACCATGACTAAAGACGTACCAAGATTTGGCCTCATTAGGGTGCTCAGGGCTTACCATAATCTGTGGACCATTCATGGAAGCAGGACTTGGTCTCATCTCTGCTCTGCAGCTGCTCCACGGGGTGGGAATTGGTGTCTGAGGGCCAGGACACAGAGCCCGTAGACACCGGGATGCTCCTGGGGTGGATGCTCTCCTCCAGGCCCAGCTCTGCACCTCAGAGCCCCATCCTCACAGCTGCAAATCCAGATGGACCAAGCAAGAGCACGGCTGCTTCTCACCAGCTGTGCCCTTACACTGAGGATCATGCTTTTATTTTTATTCCTCTCAGCTGTCCCGGTTTTCAGCCCTTCAAAGACAGGCTTTGCTTCTCTAGAAGAGTCATTCCCTTTACAGCATTAAAAAAATACATTTTCTTAATCCATCTCTATGCAGCAGATGTTTTAGGAGCTGGGTACAGATGCACAAGGTTGCCCAGGACCTGCCTCATCCCCAGCTGCCCACAGAGACTGGGAAAGCTCTTAGGGGACCTTTCTGAGGAGGAAGGAGAGGATTCACCCCCTCACACCGAACAGTAACTACACAACTTTGCAAGAGGTGGATGGACCGACCTTCTCTCAGGGGTCCTGCCCTCTCTGTGCTCATGTTCTCCATAAAATCAGAATTAAAAAGTAACTGTCAACTGTCTGAAAGTGTCCTCCACATGCCACCCAGTGACCTCCACATGCCACCCAGTGACCTCCACATGCCACCCAGTCCAGCTTCCCACCCCAGTCAGGTCCCTTTTGGGCTGAGTTGCTCAGGACCTCATCCTTCCTCACAGTGAAGGCTTCACCATCTTTCCTTGCAACCTCCTCCAGCAACGCCTTTTATGGACCAGGGAGCCAAAAACCAGGCACATCCCCTCAAATATTGAGTTGTGCCACGGGAGGATTAGATTGGATATTAGGAAAAATTTCTTTGCTCAAAGGGCTATCAGGCACTGGAAGGGGCTGCTCAGGGCAGCGATGGAGTCACCATCCCTGGAGAGGTTCAAAAACGTGTGGATGTTGCACTTGGGGACATGGCGGGCTCGCGTTGGCAGTTGGACTTGATGATCTTAGCGCTCTTTTCCATCCTCAAGGGCTCTGTGGCTCCGAATCCCCCCGCGCCGCCCGCCCCGCTGCCTGCAGTTGGCCGCCGCCACCAGCAGAGCCCACTGCTGCTCCGCGCTCGGCTCTGCGCGGTCCCCGGGCTCTCCCCAGCGCCCGGCCGAGGGTCACAGCCCCCCAAGTTCCCCTCAAACCTACAACGAGGGGGTCCCTGAGCACCCGCACCCCAGGGCAAGGGTCCTGGAGGAGGCTCCCAGCCGTGCAGGAGGCACTGGGGGATGCCGCAGAGCCCTCCATCCTCAGCCTCTGCTGATGCTCTGGACGCCTCCCTCAATTTTGCACAATTTTAGGCAACCCTGCAGCATCCTGACCAAAAGCTTCCCACAACCCCAGCTGCAAAATCCCTGCTAAACATTGCTAGGAGATACATGCAGTGGTGATATAGGTGCTTCCTCCCCCTGCAGCAGGTGAACACCCTAATTAGGAGGGAAATGAACACAAACACAAGCAAATCCTAATTACACCAGTGTTAATAGGTGATGCAGCAGCTTTTGAAAGCTTCCTAAGGCAGCAGAGAGAAGCAGCTAGTGGCAAAGTCTTTGCTAGCTCCTGCTTGCTGTACTCTGCACAGTGGGGATGATAAGGAGAGTTATTGTTGCTCTGCATTCAAAGAAAGATTATTGTTAAGGAGGAGAAGAAAGATATAAGTGAAATAAATTGGAACACGCTCCATGTTTGAA